AAGGGGATCTGTCCAGCGCAGCCCCGGAGCTCACCCCGGCCGTGACGGCTGCTCTGCTGCAGCTCTTTTCCCAGCAAGAGGCAGAATCCCACGGCCACCCCACCCAGGAACACCCCACTTCCAGAGCCCCGGACTACGGCCGCTCCCACTCCTCCAGGACTTACAGCACCGAGGGCTCAGAGGGGGGATTTGGTACCGAGGAGCTGAATTCGGGCCAGACGCTACTAGAACCCTCTGCCCAACCTCTGGGGAAAAGCAGGACCTTCTTGGGCTCCGTGAGCCACCTCGGGGAGACGAGCAATTACCAGGGGACAGGATCTGTCCAGTTTCCAGGGGACCAGGACCTGCGCTTCGCCAGAGTCCCCGTCGCCGTGCACTCGGTGGGTCAGTCCTTCAGCAAAGCCGAGGGGAGCAACAACACCTTGGTTCATCCAGAGGCCAAAATCCAAACTTACGGCGAGTTGGGGCCGGGAAGCGCCGGTTCCAGCGGGGCAGGGACAGGTCCCCAACCCTGGGGTGCCCCAACCCAGGCGACTCCTCCCTACGGGAAGTTCCGAGGGCCTGGCAGAGTGCCTCCGCGGGGGGGGCGGGGGAGAGGGGTTCCTTACTGAGAGATGCTCCTCCCCTCCCTCTCCTCTCCACCTTTAGCAACATGACTTTTCTTTTTTTATCCTCCTTTTTTTTTTTTTTTTTTAATTTTGGGTTTTGTGTTGGTTCATTATTATTTTTTTTCCTGGCCAGAACAAGGTCTCGTCCGCATTTCAGCTGCTGCAGAGCCCCCCTCCTGTGCTCCTTGCTAGGCTGGGCACCCCAGGACGTGCCCTAGGGTTCCCACTTGGGCATCTCGTTGGCCACAACCCCTTGTGCTTGGTTAATGACAAAAATAAAAGAAAAATAAAATTCCCCCCCCCCCGCAGAGGGTGGATGAGCTTCCTGCCCTGGGCCAGCGGGGGGGGGAGGATGGTTTGAAAATCCGAGGGATGCAACTTAAACCCATCCAGGTGGGAAGAACCCCCCCCCCGCAGAGGGTGGATCATCTTCCTGCCCTGGGCCAGCAGGGGGGGGGAGGATGGTTTGAAAATCCGAGGGATGCAACTTAAACCCATCCAGGTGGGAAGAAGGAAATTAAAAAACCACAAATGTTTTGTTGAGCTTCTCAGTGGGAGAAGTGCTGGGTGGTGTTCGGGTAGGGCTGGGGGAGAGTCTGGTTCCCTAAGCAATTTTTTGGGGAGTAGTTTTGGTTTGTTTTTTGTTGTTGTTTTTTGTTTCCAATCCTCTTAAAGAAAAATAAATAGGAATCTTTTGATGCGGAGGCACCTGGATGAGTTTTCCTGGCTCTGGAGCCCCAGGATGTGACACTGGTTTGTATTTGATTTATCCAAGGTGGATGTTTTTTCCCCACATGGTGTCTGAGTGTCCCTGGGCTCCGTGCCCAGGCTGGGCCCTGCTGGGGTGGCTCCAGCTCCTGTCCCTGGGCAGCCTTAACCAATTGGCTTTTTTTGATGGATCTCTTTGGGAATCGTCTCTCTCCTGCCACAGCTTTGCAGTGGGGATTGTCTTTTTTTCCTTTTGATTTTTTCCCCTTTTCTCTTTTTTCTAAGAGCCAGAGAACACCTCCCTTCAAAACGTGGTTTTTCTTCCACAACTTCCAAAACACTTGAAGAATTTAAAGTAAAAAAAATATATTAAAAAAAAAAAAGGAAAGAAAAAATAATTCATAAATCACCTGGTGGGGAAGTTCCACCCGGGAGGAGTGTCCTTTGTACCCAGCACCCTCTGGGCTGGTGGTGTGTGTCCTGAGGGGGGTCAGTTGGGCTCCCCACCAGGCATCTCAGTACTTTGAGGCTTAATGTATCATTTCTATAAGCATATATATTTTTGTTGTTGTCAAGGAAGTATTTACAATGAATTCTCTCCTCCCGCAGAACGTTGCCATGTTGTCCATTTCAATGAGACTTAAAAGAGATGAATAAAACAAAGGTACATATTTATGAGCTTCCTTTTGATTTTTTCCCCTTTTCTCTTTTTTCTAAGAGCCAGAGAACACCTCCCTTCAAAACGTGGTTTTTCTTCCACAACTTCCAAAACACTTGAAGAATTTAAAGTAAAAAAAATATATTAAAAAAAAAAAAGGAAAGAAAAAATAATTCATAAATCACCTGGTGGGGAAGTTCCACCAGGGAGGAGTGTCCTTTGTACCCAGCACCCTCTGGGCTGGTGGTGTGTGTCCTGAGGGGGGTCAGTTGGGCTCCCCACCAGGCATCTCAGTACTTTGAGGCTTAATGTATCATTTCTATAAGCATATATATTTTTGTTGTTGTCAAGGAAGTATTTACAATGAATTCTCTCCTCCCGCAGAACGTTGCCATGTTGTCCATTTCAATGAGACTTAAAAGAGATGAATAAAACAAAGGTACATATTTATGAGCTTTTTTTTTTTTTTTTTTTTTCCCTGAGCAGGCCTTTCCTATGGAAAACATATGGTGGTTCTTTTAATTTGGAGATGACTGTTCTGAAGTGTTAAGTGGGTGGGAGTCCAGGGGAGGCTGAGAGACCTTCTTGCTATGAACAGGATTTGATTTCTTTTGATACAGAGAGAGAAATTAAAATGAAAAAAATGCACCTGAATAGGTGGTGCTTCTGTAAACTGGGGAAAACCTGCCTGACCCAGTCAGACCCGTGGCTGCTCCCACCAGCTTTGCTGTGGGGGAAAAGGAGGGGAGAGAAAATAGAGAGATGTTTAAGTGCTGGTGAAGTGTGAGGTCCCTGAGCACCCAGGAACCAGCCACTCTCCCAGCATTGAGTCAGCACTGAGGAGCAACACTGTTTGCAAAATCCCAAGTGTAAATTTGTTGGGTTTTGGTTTTGGGGGGTTTATTTTTAGTTGACAGTTTCTTGCCTGATGTGCAGAAACAAAAAAGAGCAGTTCTGTGAGGTACAGAGTGCACTGAATAAGCTGGTCACCTCTTGAGGGGTTCTTTAGTTCCTCTGGTTTCCTCCCCACTGTGCAGCTCCCAGCTCTGGTCTGTGGTGGAGCTTTTGTTGTTGTTGTTCTGGTTTTTCTTCCTGAGCCCATCCAGTTTGGAAGGAAAAGTCGTGTTCCAGTGCTGAATCCTCTCAGGAAGCCCATGCCTATTTGTCTTTCCAAATTGGCAGATCCCCAGCAGAGCCTGCCCAGGAGCAGGTCCCAAACCTCCTGGCAGGCTCTGCCCATGTCCCCCTGGCCCAGGGCCCTAGTGGTAGGTGCAGTTTAAGGTACCAAAGCCACTGGGTCCCTCCAGCCCCATGGGGACACTTCTGTGGCACTGGTTCATTTTGCAGCAAGGGGCTGATAAGGTGCTGGAGGTGACACTGCCTGCCAGGGTGGACTCCTGTCCCTCTGTCCCACCTCCAGCAGAGGACAGACAGCCCAGACTTTTGTCCCTTGCTCTGGGCTGGCTGATGGCATCTGCCATCTGTCCCCATGGGGCCAGGTCACTCCAGCAGGTGCTCTGGGCTCCTGCACAAGGTGGTTTTCACCAGTCCCTTGTCTGAGCTCACTGACCACCTGGGGGAGGTTGGGGCAGAGCCACGGTACTGGCAGGGGCCACTGCTCCATCTCCAGTGGCTTATTTTAACTGGTCCCAGCAAGAGGCTTCCAGACCCTGCAAGGTGGCTGTGGGACCACTGCCCCCCCCTCCCCCAGCTCCTCTTGTCTTTTGATTTTCCTGTTTTTTTAAAGGGTCTCTGTGCAAAGAAGACAAAAGGATTTACCCGGGGGGGGAACGGGGGGCAAATATATGTGTTTAAAAGGATTTAAAATGTGGTGCAGGTTGCAGACAAGCCCTGGGAGGCACCTCCCCCCCTCTTCTTCCTCCACACGATGGGTTTTGGGTTTCATGCCAATGTCTGACACGCTGGAGCCAGTTGCCCAGCAGAGAAATGTCTGGTAAGACTCTTGCTGTACCTCTCCCGAGTTCCGTTCTGAGACTTGAGCACCTTTTCTTGGTTGTACCTTTGTCTCTGTACAGATATTTTGTAATATATTAAATTTTTTTTTTTCTTTTCAGTTTATAAAAATGGAAAGTGGAGATTGGAAAATTAAATATTTCCTGTTACTGTACTGCCTTCTGCTCCATTGCAGTGACCTACCCCCCTGCTTCCTGTAGCCTTTGCACAGCACAAGGGAACTGGGTTTTCCTTTAAGAGCCTTTTTTCCCCTCATCCTGCCCTTCCAGGGCTGGGCTGGCAAGGGTGGCTGGGACCTGTCATTGTCACTGCCCTGTGTGGCTGTCACCCTCTGTAAGCCCCCAGATCTGTATCTGCTAATTGAGAGCAGGGCCAAGCCCTTGTAGGCCCTGTGGGTATCACCCAGTTCACTGGGTGCTGGTGTCAGCTCTGATGGGTGCTGGTGTCCAGCTGGGGGGGAACTGGAGCACAGTGATGACTTTGATAACAGTGGGAGCAGGAAGGAGGAAAGCTGGAGCTGAAGCAAAGGCAGGAGCTGGAGCTGTGGAGATGAGAAAGGGAAGGGACATGGTGGGGGTTTGTCTCCAAGCTCCTGGCAGCCCTTGGGCTCTGGAGAGGACCCTGGGGGGCTCTTGGGGGACAGATTCTGCCATGAGGGCACGTGGAGGGAGGCATGGCAGAGGGTCTGGATCTCCCATTCATCCATCACCCTTCCTGGGGTGTTTCCCTGTACCAGCCCGGGCTCCAGACTGACCCTGAGGGGGCTGGAGGAGACTTTGCCCCAGCCCTGGTGCAGGGGAAGGGGCAGGATCCGGCCCGGGCAGGCACGGAGGGTGCAGGGGGTGCCAGCCCTGCTCCCTGCCTTTGACTTCGGCTGGGTTGAGCCTCTTCCAGGCCCTCACTGGCTTCTGCAGCACCCAGAGGCCGTGGGGCAGAGCTGGGGGCTGCGGGTCTCAGTCTGGGGGGGTCCCCATTCAG